CTCAGGGCCACCCACCCACACCTGTGCACCAGGGCAGCCGCTCAGGGCCACCCACCACACCTGTGCACCAGGGCACCGCTGCAGGGCCACCCACCCACACCTGTGCACCAGGGCACTGCTGCCCAGAGCCTCCTGGTGTGGGATGTGGGGCCAGCAGACACTTGCCCTGGTGAGGGCCCTGGTGATGGGCACAGGTCTGTGGACTTCAGCTGGGGAAGCCTCTCCTGGCCAACCTCTGTCCCAGAACCAAGCACACTGGGTGGGGGCTCCACAGGAGGAGGCCCCTCGGAGGACTCCAGTGTCCTGTGTTCCATCTCCCCGAGCCCAGCCAGCCCCAGGCTCACTGCTGGAGGGTAAGGAGTAGGCCTGTGTCCACGGCGCGCAGGCACTCGCTGGACACCCTGGCAGGGCTCACCAGGGCTCTGGGCAGTGCCGTGAGCTGCGCTGCTTCCAGAAGCCTGGAGCCCCCAGCTCTCCCTGCAAACCAAAGCCAGACCCTGTCCTCCTCTCCCCACCCTTGGGTGGGGACCAAACTGCCCTGATGTCCTGTCTCACCCCCCTGCTTGGGGAGCTGATGGCAGTCCTGGGTCACTTCCTGGATGTGTGAGATCAGGGGAGGTCCCTCAGAACCCAGCACTGCCTAGAAGCTGAGGGCAGCCGTCTCCCACCTCCGGGGCCCTCAGGAGGGCAGGGCACGGTGGGCTTCCCCAGAGCCAGCCTGGGACTCCCACTGATCTTCCAGGCCCTTGGCTGTGACCTCAAGGCCTCTGGAGGCCGCCCTGCCTGGCCACGTGGTCTCAGGGAGAAGAGCAGACTGCGGGGGGGCGGGGGGCTCTGCCTGCCCACCCCTTGGACAGAGGAGCCTCCTGCACCCCCTCCTTACACGCCCACCTGCCCTTTCTTCAGGGTCGCAGGCTGACGACCACATCGCCAGGCGCACAGCCCAGAAGATCATGGCGCCCCCCGGTGGACGCTCCAACATCACCTCTCTCTCTTAGACCCCATTCCCGCTGGCGGCTGCTGTGGGGGCCGGTGGCCTCAGTTAGCTCTTTCCTTTGTAGAAGTCACTTTGAAAGGTGCTCAACCTTGCCTTCCCTCCCCCTCAACAAAGCTCTCCTTTGGGGTCCCGGGTCCCACTGCGAGGAGCCCCTTCAAGAGGGCTGAATGTGGGGAGACCTCACTGCCAGGACCAGGAGCTAGATGAGGCAGCGACAGCTCAGGCGGCCCCTAGCCCACATGCCAGGTGACCCAGTGCCTGCCTGGCCCCACTAGGGTGCTGAAACCCCCAGGTGCTCACTGTGGAGTAGTGGCTGGGGCTGGGAGCCCAGGCTCTGAGCTGGAGTCTGGGCGGGCGGGTGTCTGCCGCTTCCTTCCCGTGGGAATCACTGCCCTTCCAAGTCCCCAGCCTCCCACCTGCCCGTGGCACTAGGTGCGGCCGTCCTTCCAGGGGATGTCACGATGTTCGCCCAGCACAGGTAGGGGACAGGCATGGAGCCTCGGCCTCTAGAGCTGCTGTGACTTCAGGGATCCACCAGGAATTTAGCATGGGCAGCTCCCCCCGTAGGGACTCACTGGTACCCACTCAAGGACCAAGCCTGAGCTTCCCCAGGGCCCTTCCAGGAAGCTTCACGACCCTTTAGCTCAGATGCCCCCCTTTTACTACAGGACGAGTCCTTCCACAGGGCCATTAGAGTAGCAGATTTGTAGAGTGAGGAAACCGTAGCCAGGAACCTGCATGCCACCACCCTGGACGGCAGGTGGCCGTCTGAGCCTGATTCGTCGGGTGGATTAAAGACGTCTCTGGGTTAGAAGCTCCTGTGTGTGGACAGCCTCCACTGCCCCCCGCACACCAGGCCCCACGAGTGGTTGGCTGGGGACTGGGGAGCCTTCTGCTGCCCTTCCTGGGCTTCCTGCTGGCTGAGGCTGCACCCACACTGCCCACTCCAGGACGGGCAGGACTGCACCCACACTGCCCACTCCAGGACGGGCAGGACGGTCTGCCAGGTGGGGGGCTCTTCCTCACTGGCTGCAGGGATGTTGGCCCCAGGAAGACACCATTCTGACTGGCCAGCTCCAAGCTTCCCAGAAGGCTTGGGCACATGGAGCTGAGGCCTAGCAGCCACAGGGCTCTGATCCAGAACCTTCTAGAAGTTAGCACTGCTGTGCTGCTGTGTCAGCCCCCAGCCTCGGGCTCTTTCTCATTAACATGATGCCACTATGTAGTCCAGGTGGGGCATTCCCACCCAGGAGCAGCGCCCCCACTGCCCACTCTCTTCCCGAGACATCACTTCTCAGTGTTGACCAAGGGCATGTCCCTGGGGACCATCAGCACATGTCTGAGCGAGGGTCCACCCGAAGCTGCGCTGGTCCCCACAGGTCCCTGGAGAGGCCCCTCCTGTGCTCAGCGTCTGTCCTGGGCTTGCTGTGGCCCAGACACATTTGATTGGTGCGGCCTCAAAGCCAGAGTCCCCAGCTCCTCCAGGTTGATGTCCACTGTGCCAGTGTGCCCACAGTCCCAGTGAGGAGTGGATACAAAACCGTTCCTCATTGGCACATCTGACACCCCTGGCTGTCCATCCAGAGCGTGGCCTCCTCTGGGCCCGCCCTGGGGCCTGGCCACCTGGCTGGGCTGCATTTCCTTTTCTGGTAGCGACTTGGGCACTGTGTCCCTTCTGGTGTGCACACTGTGTGGAGTCTGTGGTCTTGACCCTGCTGAAGGCCCCGCCGTCAGTTCCCATGGGTCTCAGGCCAGGAATGGCAGGGCCCAAAGCTGTGGCTCTGCTCCTGGCACAGCCAGTTTGTCCTCTCCCAGCCAGGCAGGGGGACAGCGTGTGCTGGGGCAGAGGTGCTCTGCAGGCGCAGACTCAGACACTTGCCACAGTGTCCAGTGCGGCTGCTGTCCTGCGAGGGCCATAGGTCATGCACCTCTCCCCCAAAGTAAGCCCATGCAGCAGATGGAGCGCTGGATGGACGGAGCTGGGCCCCACCTCCTCCAGTACAGGAGAGGCTGGTGCGGCTGCTCACACAGTCCTGGTCTGACTCCAGAACACTGGCGACCATGACAGGCAGCCGTCCTATCCTGGAGGCCCATGGTCCAGCCCTGAGGCCCAGCCCTCCGGGGCCACACTTGCTGCCCAAGACTCTCCAGCCTCTGGCAGCATGTGTCCACACCTCACCCTGACCTGGCGGTGTCCAAAACCAGCCCTGGGGCCCCAGGATGTGTGCGTGCCACCGTCCTGAGGCCTGGGGAGGCTGTGCCCCAGCAGGAGCTGCTCTGTGCACTACCCACCCCAGCTGCCCCAGTCCACAGCCTTCTCCACGTGACTGCAGGCATGGGTCCCCTTGGGTTCCGGACACAGAACACTGGACAGAGAAGTTCTTAGGTTGTAATTCTCAGAGGTGAAAACTATACAGAAACAGCAGAAATTGCCGGAACAGTGTGTATCTAGAAAACATTCTTGCCTTCCCTTCTCCCACTCCCTCCCCTGAGGCCCTGCCCTTGGTGTACAGGAAGGAGCAAACGCGGCCCCTCCCACAGCCTGGGCAGCAGGGCCTGGAAAGGAGACTACAGCCGGGTCCACTGGGGGCTGGAGAGCGGGGACTCCAGCCACCTTCGCACCACCCTGGCCTCTCGACCTGCTGTCCAGCAGAGGGGCTCAGCAGGCAGTTCACGTGCCTTTCACCCTGCCGTAACTGGGGCCCTGGTGGCACCAGCCCTCCTTGTCCAACTGCCACCTTTGACGGGCACCCACAGGGCAGCACTGAGGGCAGGCCTGGCCGTCAGCCGCTGCCCCCTCCCTGGTGGGCCAAGTCTCCAAAGCAGCCTGAAGGTTGAAGACCCCGGCTCTCTGCCCAGGCGGCCTAGCTGCTCCCGCCCGAGGGGCAGATGGAGCGGCAGGCCTGCAGGGCCACGGGCTCCTCCTCGCTGTCCGCCGGGGCCTCCGCTGCAGCTGCAGTCTCTGGGGCCGGGAGAGGCTCGCTGGCAAGTTCCTGGCTCCTCTTCAGCCTGGGGAGGGACGCAGGGATGTGCTCCTCAGGACATGGTGTGGTACCCCAGGGCCAGCGCTGGGCCTCTCCCGACCAGGGGGCTGGGCACAGCAGGGAGCCTGGGGGCAGCTCTGCCTGACTGCCTGACGCTCAGAAACTGAAGGGAGGCCTGGCTTAGTGCCCAGTCCAGGGTCAGCGACTTCGGAACAGCCCATTCTTCTCCTGTTCTCAGTGTCCTCAGCCAGCCTCACACTGTCCTGCACATCCTGCTGTCCTGGTGCAGAGCCACCTCCTGCAGGAAGCCCTCCCTGCCTCTCCAGAAGGGAGAGCCTCTACTCCCCCTGCGTCTCGCTGCACCAGCCTCCCTTCCTCCACCGAGGCAGGTTGTCAGCTGTGTGGCCTGTCTTGCCCCATCAGCCACCTGGGCCCTTTCTGCCCCCTTCCTACCTGACAAGGCAGGTTGGCTGAGTGCCGGAGAGACTGAGTAGCAGGGCCTGGTGGCCAGCAGGAGGCCATCAGCCTGATCTGAGCAGAGGCTGAGGTCTCCCCAACAGACCCTGGCTGCTGACCCCAAGGTGCCCAGGAACTCCGTCCCCACCGAGGAACCTGAACAGGGGCCTCCCACCTCTCGCGCCATGGGCACTGCCCAGCCTCCTCAATGGCGCAGGGCTGCTGGTCTGGGCCCCACTCACTTCTCTCTGTTGAAAATCACGAAGTCCTGCTGGATGGCATCGAGGCAGTCCTGCAGGAAGTCGTTCTCCTGTGGACGGAAGCCGCAGGGAGGGCGGTGGGTGCCCGAGCCCGGGCCCCTGGGGGACGCTTCGTGCTGCAGGGGGCGCTCACACTCCGCAGCAGCCTCACACAGCCTGAGCCCAGCCAAGGCCCTGCAGGAAAGCTGTCCCTGAGCTTGGGAGAGGTCACTGACCCTGACTCCCCTGTGAAGCCGAGCCTGCAGGTGGCCCCTCACCCTGGGGGAAGAGCAGCCCCCTCCCTGCGGAGCGGAGAGGTCATGCCACCCAGCCTTGCTCAGGGTCCGCTGCTGGCCCCTCCAGCAGCGTGGCCAGCGGGGCAGTGCTGGGCCTGCTCAGGTCAGAGAGGCACTTGCTGAAGAGGCCTGGATAACATGGACCAGGAGGCCAGGAGAGCAGGCCTGGGAGCCGGCGGGGGCGCTGCCGGTGGGCAACAGGAGGCTGGCGAGGGGCAGCTCCCGATGAGGACTTTCCCACGGCTGGCAATCCATTTCCTGGCAGAAGCGCAGGATCAGGGTTCCACCTGGGCGGGGCAGCTCTTGGAAACCTGCCTGGTCCCTCCTGGTGGTTCCAGGCCACCCTGAGAGAGTGCTGAAGGGAAGGGTAAGGGGGCTCAAGAGCCAAGATCCAGAAGACCACGACTCCACGTAGGGGCCCAGGGTGCGCCCTTCGGTGGGGTGGTCAGGAGTGATCTGGGGAGGGGCACAGGACAGGAGATGCAGTCACACCTGTGGGGAGGCCACACGCCCAGGAGCAGAAGGCAGGCAGCTGCCCTCAACCTGCAGAGTGAGGTGGGCAACTGTACCCACGGGCCATGGGTCAGGGTGGCAGCAGGGTCTGTGGAGATGTGCCACAGGGCCCCGTGTTCCTGGGGGTCAGAGACGAATGCAGTGTCCACATGCAGGTCCAGGGTGGACGGGTCACCTTTCCAGATCCTACCCCACCTCTGACCTGAGCCATGACGGGAACTGGCGGTCCTCGAGGAAGGCCCCCTGTCACAGCGACGGCATGCCTTGGGCACCCCGCGCTTGCCCAGGAGCCATGTCTGCACCCCGGAGGCTGTGAGCTCGCAGGCCTGGTGGAAGAGGGTCCCAGCACATGCTCAGCTAGAGCCCCTGGCCCGGGCCCAGCAGCCCAGAGACCCACCGCGCTGTCTCCCAGGGGCTGAAGGCAGCCAAGGCGACCCCGCTGCAGGCAGCCCTGTCTCCCGTCAGCCCCTGGCCCACGACACAGCTGCCTTCACAGGAGGGAAGTGGGACCATGATGGCGAAGGGTGACGTCTTGGCTACCGAGGTCGTTCTGGAGACCCAGGGTACAGCACGGTGACAAGTGAGGTGCACTGTGTGCTGAAGTCGGCCGACGGGGGCCTGGGATCACACCCCAGCACGCGCACACGCCAGGGGACTGACGCAGAGCTGACGGACGGTGAGCCTGGGTGCAGACCACCTCACTGGGAGACCTGGGCCACAAGGTCAACGACACCCACTGTGCCCAGTTCCACATCAGCGATCCCTCCACAGAGCTTAGACAGCCGTCCCCGAAACTGCTCCCCCACCTCCCGACCCCACCTTTCCAGATCCCACCTCTGACCTGGACGGGGAGCCAAGTGGGTGTCAGGGCAGTGACAGATCAGACTCTGGCCTTGGTTCTGTCTTTCCACCTTAGGGCAAGAGGGTGGTGGTCCCATCGTGGCCCTGCGTGAACCAGACGGCTGAGGGCCATGAGGGTAGGCCCTGGGTAGCTGCACCTGCAGTGGCTGACCCAGGGCAGATCCACCAGCAGAGACGGGCAGGGACAGCACCCGTGGCCACCGAGAGGCGGGACACTGTTTCCTGCACAGCCAGCCAGGGGCAGGGACACGGGCATTCGCCCAAGGGCTACAGTGTGCTTCCAGATTCTTGCCCCTGTTCTGTCACCAGATGGTGCTCCCCCTAATACCCCCGGTGGCACCGCGCTCACTCTGCCGGGTAGGAGGAAGTGACAGGTCCTGGGGCGCTTGTCAGTCAGTGCCCCAGAGCGTGGGAGACAAGCCCTCTGACACGTAGGAGCATGTTCCGTTACCAGTACTCTTAGGGACCCAGTGATGAGGTCCTCGGGGTGTCACTGCTAGTCCTCCCTCCAGCAGGAGAGAGCAGGCTCTGTGGCAGGTGTCTCGGGGCCTGGGAAGCAGCTCACCTTCCCAGTCCTGAGCAGCGTCTTCTGAGCGCGTGGCTGGACACCTGGGTGGTAGGCGTGAGCCCTGCGGTTGCTCAGCCCAGTCCCCCCGGGGTCTCTGCCAGTCTCGGGGTTCCTCAGCAGTATGTGCAGCAGGTGCAGGCTGCTGGGCTGAAGGCGGGGGGTGCTCTGCAGATCTCTAGGGCCCTCTCCTCTCTGTGAAGTGCTGCTCAGAGCACCGTGCGGGCAACTGGGGTGGCTCCCAGAGGGGGCACCATCCTGACGGGTGGGGACTGACCTTCATCATCAAGAAGGGGTGGGCTCCTGCCCCGGGAGTCCAGGCACCTCGCCGAGTTGCACCCCCAGCCTCATTTTGATGACAAGTGCCCAGGTGCACCAAGTCTGCTCCGAGAAAGTCGCCTGCAAAGGTCAGGCCCCTCTGGGCGAGGTCTAAGGTGTGGTGTGGGGCAGGGAGGAGCCAGCCAGAGGCTGACCCTGAGGCAGACATGACGGGGGAAGAACCGGGGCTGCCCTGAGTGCAGGCCCCGTGGGGGCGGGGGCGGGGCCCACCCGCGGGGCCCACCCACTGGACCTGCACACCCCTGCTCTCCGGGGGAGAGAGGGCGCCAGGAGCCCAAGGAGACGCTCCCCGAAGGCTCCTAGAACAGGTGCTCTGAGTGGTGACGGTGGGCTGTTGCAGACACTCGGCCACCAGGAGCCCTGTCCACACAGCTCTCCTCTCAGGAGGCTCCAGGCACTTGACCGCAGCCTGGGCAGCGTCCTCCTGGCAGGTTCTGCGGGGCCTCTCCTGAGTGCCCACACCTGTGCCTTCTTCACTGACCAGCTAGAGAGCCCTTTGCCAACACACACAGGGCTGGAGGGCCCCTAACAAGTGGCTGGCCAGCGTCGGGCTGAGGACAACCAGGGCCCCAGAGCAGGCCACCTCTGCGTCACATCCACACCCAGAGGCCGCAGCAGGCTAGGCTGAGGCCACTCTCTACAGGACTCCGCCTGGCGTCCACCCCTCGCCAGTTTCTCCCATTCCTTGAGCGGCAGCTGCCGGAGCCCCCTCCCGAGTGACTCACATGCACACAGATCCTCATGGCTGTGCACATCTGTGGACATCATGCCAAGGCTCAGGAGAGACCCCAGATGTTACCTATGGTACTAGACAGGCTGTGGCCCCTAATTCTGTAACAGGCTTGCTAAGAAGCTCAGAGGAAGCTTCCATACCTCTCAGGATGTGCTGGAAACGCCAGGGACCCAGAACAGGCTATTAATCTTGAAAAAGAACAAAGGCGGAGAGTGGCTTCCCCGTTCAGCACTGAGCCCACAGGCGCCGTGTCAAGACGGGTGTGCAGGCACGCGGGGACACGCAGACCCACAGGGCAGAGCTGTGTGTCCACAGGCAAACCTGCCCTTACAGTCAGCTGGCCTCTGAACACACTGCCAAGAGCTCAGCGGGGAGAACCGCCTGTCAGCAAGTGGGGCTGGGTGGCTGGAAGTCCTCAGGCAGAGGGACACCGCAGGACCTCACGGGGCACCACACAGCTCAAAATGGGCTTGGGAGAAGACAGGGAAGGAAATCGTCGTGACTTTACGTGATGCTTCCTCAATGTGGCAAAGCACAGGGAAAAAAAAAAAAAAAGAAAACACGGGACAACAGACAGCAGCAGAATGGAAAAGAGTCCTGCCCAGTGACACCGTCAGAAGAGGGCCGCAGAGCCGAGCGCCAGACTGCAGACCCCGACAAGGCACTGGCATCAAGAATGCATAAGTGAACGACCCTGCAAAGAAACAGGGGTCAACAGCCTGTGGCTCTGCCTCTCCCACACTCACAGCTAGAAAAGGATGAGCAGATGCAAGAGCCACGACTCTTCTTGGGCCCACCAGAGAGGGGACGAAAGGCTGTCACTACCCCAAATCCAGAGGTGAACCAAGCCTCAACAATGGCTCAGAATTTTCTAAAATTAGTGAGACACCAAACCACGGATCCAAGAAGCTCAGAGAGCACTGTGCGGGATGAACCTGAGCCTGCCCACGCCTGGCCCAGCACATCCACCCGCAGAGGGCCACTGAGAACTGTCCTGAGAAAAGCCGGGGGACATCCTGCTTAATGCAAAGCAAAGAGCTGCATCAGACTTCTTGTCGTGGATTACGCAAGAAAGAAGAGCGTGGAGAGGCTCCAAGCATCCAAAGAAAACGCACTGGCTTGGAATTCTGAATCCAGGGCCGTCACCCTTCCAATGCAAAGGAAAGTGAGACTTTCTCAGAGCACCAACGGACAGCATCTATCCTTAGGAACGTGGGGAGTTCCCCAGGGGGCACGTTGGCAGGCCAGAGGTGGTCCACACCAGAAAGGCAGCCTCAGGGAGGCACAGAGGGAAGGGAAGACCTTCTGTTTCCCTTCCTAAGCCACATGAAAGATCACTATTAAGACAACAATGTGACAATACATGGCAGCAATGTCACCGGGACGGAGAAGCAGACCGGAGGCACCTCCACGGGTGGGAGCGGTGCTTCTTGGAGGCCAAAGGGAGCTAACGGTGCTTTGCAAATTCTGCAACCACTACTACATTTGTAAAAGAAGTAAACCGAGGCACTAAGGGAGAAGGTGAAGCAGAACCGTGTAAAGTGCTTCATGAAAACCAGAGAGGGCAGACCGAGAGGGACAAGGGGGGACAAACACAAGAAAGCCACGCACCACAGAAAGAAACACGGCAGGCAGGACTTGAGCGCTCGGCACGTCCCGCTGTGAGTGGTCGGAAATACACCAGGTAAGAGGAGCCGTCGGGTGGCCTCCAGGAGGAAATGTCCAAGGAACCCGGAGGAGACGCTGCTCACTGCTGGTCGGGGACCAGATCTAACCAGCCGCCACCCACTGCCAGCACCACGGCACCGCGCATAAAGCGACAACCCAGAGCAGGGTGAGGAGTGGAGCCCTCACGCTGCCACCAGGAATCAGAACGGTGCAGCCGTGGGGCAGCGTGGTGGTTTCTGAGACCTGAGGCACGGCAGTGTCGGGTGGCCCGACAGCGTCACTCCTGGGCACAACCCGGGAAGGCAAGCACGCGAGGACTTGCACACGTGTGTTCAGAGCAGCATGGTTCACGGGAACCCCTAGACACCCACCAGCGGCCGAACGGGCACATGAACTGCGATCCACCCATAGATAAGATGTGACGTCCAGCAACAGAGAGATGCAGAATGACGTGTGGAAAAGCGTGGCTGAACTGAGGTCTCCGTGCCACGTGAAAAACGCTGACCTCGAAAGACCACGGGCTGCCCAGCTTCACGAGAGCAGCTCACCAGAGGCAGAGAGCAGCCTGGGGACACCAGGACCTGCAAGGGGTGGCACTGGGAGCCACTCTGTCTGGTGGAGAAGTTCTGACACCTGCTGCGGTGGTGGGCAGACCCCAAGAAAACGCAGCAACCACAGAACTGGACACGCCAGCGGGTGGACTGTGCGGTGTGTGAGCTGCATCAAAGGAAAACTGCCAAGTAAAACCGCCCAGGCTCAAGGTTCTTCATCTTCCCGAACAGCACTGGGTCCCCTCAGTGGCACCTCTCAGCACCGTCCACCCTCCAGCCACACTCCCACAACGGACCCCGCACAAGGCCCCTTCCACAGCATCTGCCCGAGGTTGGTTGGCCCTCTGGACTCTGCTCACTGCCCGCTCTGGGCTCCTCATGAAGACCTGTCCACCTGGGGCAGCTCCCGCACCCCAAGGCCTTGACCTGGAGGTGCCCTCCTAAGTGGAGCCTGACCATTCCAAGGGAGAACCTCCGACCACCTGGTGACTAGCGCCTCACCTGCAACTCCAGGGCGCCATCAGCAGGACAGGGGGACGGAGGATGGGCCAGTGTTCCGTGAGAAACTTCCGCACCCCAGAGGTGACGCCAGCCCTGCATCCCGTGTCAGTCATGCCCATCTGCTACCCAGGACAAGGGGCCGCCAGGCCTGGGCCCCCTGAGTGTCCCCCACAGGCTCAGACTCAGGGCCAGGAGGACAGTGACCGCCTGCACGTCACCTGATTCCAACTCACAGCCACAGTTGCTCTTCTGTGCACACAAGCTCTACCCCGGGTTATGGGCTGAACTGCGCCCCCCCCCCGCAACAAGAAACCTGTTCCTGACCTAACCCTGCCACCTATGAAGGTGACTTGACTCAGATACAGGTATCCACAGGTGTCCACCTAGGATGAGGGCAGGGCAGGGTACAGTGGGCCCTAAACACAACTGGGTCCTTGTAGCCAGGGGGCCTGACTGCGGTGGTTTGTCCCCCAGCCCAGGAAGGCTCAGGATTGACCGCCACCCGGGAGCCGCGAGGGCAGGGAGGGCTTCCTCCCCCGCACAGCTTTGCCCACCCTGATTTTGGACTTGGGTCTCCAGAACCATGAAACAAAATGCTGTTGTTGTCTCAGCCACTGGGGTATGGTCATTTGGCATGTTATGGCAGCCCCAGACACTAACGCACTGGGCACAGACGCGCCTGCACACCACTGCGCCTGGTCAGCAATGCGCCTGGGCGTGGTGTGGAGGACTTCCTGCGCATGTCCCACAATGCTTACAGCCAGCACTGACAGTGGTCACTGCGTGGCCCATTTCAGAAGGAGCAAGGGGCTCAGGAAAGCTGTGTGAGTGGGGGGACAGGGTGCTGGGAGGCTGAAGGAGGGCCTCAGGCCTTCTCAGGTCTGCAGAAGGACCACCCACTGGACCTGCCGATGCGTGTCCCGTCCCAATGCCTGCAGAACAGGGTGCAGGGAGCTCTGCATGCCGTGCACGGGCAGTGGAGGGCACCCCGGGGCGAGCCCGCCACTCACTGACTGGGAGCTGTCCCTGCTGCCGTCTCGAGATCTGTTCTTGGCCAGCCGCTTCTTCTTCTTGTGCAGGGGCCGCGACTCCAGGATCATCTCCTCCAGCTCAAAGGTGGGGTCGCAGTGCAGGCGGCCCTTCTGTGGAGGGACGGGGCACTGAGCCTGGCCCTCCGCCTGGCCCTGCGGCCCCGCTGAGCACAGGCTTGCTTACGTTGGGCACGAATCCTGGCTCCACCTTCTTCTCGCTCAGCTCATCCCACGGCACGTTGGCCAGCCACGGGGCTGCCTGCATGTCCTGGAGGCTGGAGAACCGGTGCTCAGGGTTGACGGTGAGAAGCTGCAAGGAGGCTCCCGTCAGACGGGCAGCCCGCCAGCCAGGACCCAGAGCCAACCCCACCAAGGAGGGGCCACCTGTCCCAAGCCAGGGTCCTGGGAGGGCTGGGGGGTGCCTGCCAGGCCTGAGTTCAGAAATCCAAATCTCCAGGGGCACACAGGAAAGGTGGCACTGGTTTCAGGAAAAGAATCACGGTCAGCAAAGCCATGTGGTCCCAGGCACAATTTGACCTGGGTGCCCTGGCACCCTGGGCAGGATCTTCAGGGGCATGCTGACAGGATACCAGCAGGTGGCAGCAGAGGCCCAGCTAATGCTCTCCCTGCAACTGCAGGTACCAGGTGGACACTCACTAATGCCAGCCACTCCCACCTGTGCACACTCTCCAGGCCCCAGGGGGCCAGGGCAGCAGGGTTCTGACAGCTAGGCGCCTCCAGCCCAGCCAGGAGCCAGACCCTGTCCTGACCCTGGGTTAGGCTCTGACTCTGCTCTTTTTGGAAGCACCAGCCACTTAAGGAATGGTTCTCTGAGCGAGGAACAGCTCCTAGTCCAGCCTGGTCCATGGGGTAGGTACTACTGAGGCCACAGCATGGCCCTGTGTCCCTGCAGGCTGACGTCCCCTCTGCTGCTGTAGACAGAGCTCAGCCCTGAGAGGTGCACAGGTGACCTGGGGTCTTCTTGGTTTGCTCCTTGGGAGGAGCGGTCCAGGCCATGTGCACTGCCCAGGGCACAGGCAGGGGCACAGGAGACCAGAGTGCAGTGTGGAGGGCCCGAAACCCGAGTTCTCAGCATGTGAAGTGGGTGTGGTGACCAGTGGCCCCGGCGCCCAGGCTCCCCGAGAGGATCTGACAGGCAAGGCGCCTAGTGCCTCGGCCCAGGGCCAGTGCCCCTGAGCTGCTGTGAAGACACAGCTGCTACCGGATCTCAAAACACACAACCAGGAACCAGCCTGGCTTTCCTGAGCTGGGACCTAAGAGCCACCATGGGGGCCAGGGCACAGTGCTGGTGATGGGGTGTGCTGCCCAGGCTCAGAGGGCGTGGAGGGGCGCATCCTGGTGGGTGCAGAGGAGGTGGGGCTCACCTTCCGAAGCAGGGCCACCATCTCCTTGGACCAGGTGGGTGCGTACTGGACACTCACGGTGCTGAACAGCTGCACCAGCGACTCCACGGCGTTGCTCGAGTGGATGTCATAGGGCCGCTGTGGGCAGGAGGCACTGCGCCAGGTGTGCTCACCCCAGGACACCCAGGACAGTGCCAGGCACCAGTGCCAGCACACAGAGCCCCACCCCCAGCACCCCAGAGCCCCGCCCCCAGCCCAGGTGCCTGCAAAGCCTGGGCACGGCTTCCACTGTCAGAGCTGGGACAGGAGCCTACGTCTGGGTGAACCCTGCATCTCAGCCCCAAAGCCCATCTGGACAGGAAGCACCCCCACCAGAGGACCTAAAGGGCCAGGAGGGGCTGCTTCCTCAAGGTGGGTCCCATGGGGTGGCTGAGGGGGTATGGTGCCCCCGAGAGGGGCTGGAGAGGGCAGTGCAAGGCCCAGGGCAGCAGCAGCCTCCAGGCCCCAGGCTGGCCGTGGTCCCTGGGGGAGGAGCACAGGGCCCAACAGGAGCCTTGCTTGCAGTGAGTTCCGAGGAGGCAGCCCCTGCTGGACACTCTGTCCTGTCCCCTCGTCCCTCCCTGACTCTTGGGGCACCCCATGGCAGGGAGCGGCTAGCTGGGGGCAGGGGCCAGGCAGTGGCACAGGGCTCCGTACCCATCCTCGCAGCAGCTCGTAGGCCATCACCCCCACTGACCACCAGTCCACCTCGAAGGAATAGCCAGTCCCACCATTGACGAAGGAGTGGAAGATCTCCGGAGCTTTCCGACAGAGAGGGAGAGAGCAGCTGAGCTGTCGAGGGGTTGGCCACCCTGACACTTGGGCACCTCACAGGTCTCAAGAACAGGCTGTGTCCAGGGGTGAACAGGAAGGCCCGCCCCAGTAGTCCCTGCCCCTGCCCCTTCCCACCGGGGACAGCCGGCTCCCTTCTGCCTCAGCCCAGCGAGGCTGCGTCAGCCCACCCAGCTCCCTCCAGGGCCCACCCCAGGTGTGACAGGGGCCATCTGGTCCCCATGTTCCACTGCTGTTCCGCAGCCCTCAAACCCCTGTGCACCAGCCACTGGGACATCTTTCAGGCCTGCCCCATCACCATGCTGGGACCTTAGGGCCAGGGCACAAGCCCAGTCCTGCAGGCCGACAGGGTGGGAGTGAGGACTGGGGCCAGGGGCAGGGCTAGACTTGGGGCTGAGCTGCCTGGGCTTACCCATGTAGGGCTTGGTGCCAGCTAAGGCCGTCGCCCTCTCGCCATCCTTTATGATGGTGGCGATGTTGAAGTCGGTCAGGTGTGCGTGCCCTGCAAGAAGTGCCCCCGTGTGACTGCCCAGGACTGGGGGCCTGTCCTGATGGCGGGACACCCACCACCTCCTCCGCCGTCCCAGGCTCCCAGCTCACCTTGCTCATCCAGCAGGATGTTGTCAGGCTTGACGTCCCTGGAAGGACAGAGATGGACCAAGTCCTGAGCCCAGACCACTGCTGCCCCTGGCAGAGCCCAGGGCACCGGCTTGGCTTGGTCCTTGGGGAAACACTGGGGCCTAAGGGCTCTGGTGAGGGGGGCAGAGAGGCCCCCTGCTGGCAAGGAAGCCTGCTGCAGGGGAGCCACCAGCACCTGGCCATCTAGTCGACAGGACAAGCCCTGCAGCCTGAAGCCCGTGATCCCAGGCTGGCCCCCTGGAGCCCCAGGGCTACACAGAAGTGCTGGATCAGGGCTATCTCTCCCACATTTGCCTCGGGCCTCACCCCGCCCTGATTTCCAGGGACACAGTGATTGTGGGGTACCTGGTGATTGTGGGGTACCTGAATCATGACACACAGTGGCATTGCCGAGGGCAGGGAGGCAGAGATCAGGGCTGCATTTATACTCCACCAAAGATCTTTTCATTCTGCTCTGTGGCTGCCTTTATTTCACCTGTGTTGAGTCAATGTCAGAACTCCCCCAGGACATGGTGGAGGGGCCGGGGGGCATCTGCTAGGCCATGGCACAACGCCTGTAGTTAAACAGACCAGTGATGGCCACCACAATGTGGCAGGTCCTATGGCCCATCTGTGAGGACTAATGGCCTTCTGTGTCCAGCCTCAAGTGGACCTGCTTGGACAGGGTCCACCCCCAGGTGCTCAGCAGCAGCAGCACAACAAGGAGATGAGCTTGGAGGGGGCACTGACGGGCTCAGACACAATCGCTGGGGACAGGTCCTCAGACAAGGGTAGGCAGAGGAGCTAGACCAGTCCTGCTGGAGTGCAGACGCCCCGGGCGGCCTGACCCAAGGCTGCTGGCAGCCCCACCTAGCCGAGGAGGGCCCACCCCATCAGGCACATGCACCTGTGGATGATGTGCTGACTGCGCAGGTAGTCAAGGGCCAGCGCCATCTCACAGACATACAGCTTCACCGTGTCCTCAGAGAACTGGACATTCTGCTGCAGGTGGTAGCGCAGGTCCCCACCTAGAAGCAGGTCCACCACCATGAACATGTCCTCCTCATCCTGGAAGGAGTACCTGTGGCAGGAGGGAGGACTTGGCATGTGCATGGCTGGGGAGCAGAGTCGCACCTACTGCCACACCTGCCGTGCACACCCTGAGGACCACAGCCCTACACCACTGCCACCGTCACCAGTCCTGCCAAAGGCAATGAATCTGCCCCTGCTCAGAGCTGCTCTGAGCTGAGATCCTGGGGAAAGGCAGAACAGCCTGTCCTGGAGGTGGCCCAGCAAGGGCCCAGAAATGCCTCTAAGTGACAAAGGGGAAGCAGAAACACAGGGTCTGTCCCTGGGTTATTTCAGGCTGCCCTGGTTTATTTTGTAAAATCGAGATGGAAACATCTGCCGTGGAGGGCTGTTAAAGAAGAAATGAGAGAGTGCAGGTGAATCCTTGGTGTGGTGCTGAGGGAAGGACTGCATTTAGTCACCAACTGCCATGGTGAGGGTGATGGTGATGATGATGACGGTGGTGACGTGATGTGATGGTGACGACGGTGGTAATAATGGGATGGTGGTGACAGTGATGATAATGGGATGGTGGCGATGGTGGTGATGGTGATGATAATGGTGATGGTGGCGATGATGGTAATGATAATAGTGATGGTGGCGATGGTGGTGATAATGGTGATGATGGTGATGGTGGTGATGATGGTGATGGTGGTGATGGTGGTGATGGTGATGATAATGGGATGGTGGTGATGGTGATGATAATAGTGATGGTGGCAATGGTGGTGATGGTGATGATAATGGTGATGGTGGCGATGGTGGTGATAATGGTGATGGTGGCAATGGCAATGGCAATGGTGTGATAGTGGTGATGGTGATGATAATGGTGATGGTGGCGATGGTGGTGGTGACGGTGATGATAATGGGATGGTGGCGATGGTGGTGATAATGGTGATGGTGGCGATGGTGGTGATAATGGTGATGGTGGTGATGGTGGTGATGGTGATGATAATGGTGATGGTGGTGATGGTGATGATAATGGTGATGGTGGTGATGGGGATGGTGATGGTGGTGATGATGGTAATGATAATAGTGATGGTGGTGATGGCAATGGCAATGGTGTGATAGTGGTGATGGCAATGGCAATGGTGATGGTAATGATAATAGTGGTGATAGTGATGGTAGTGATACTGGTGGTGATGATGGTGGTGATTGTGGTGATGGTAATGATAATGGTGATGGTGATGATAATGTCGATGATGGTGATGATGGTGATGGTGATGGTGTAATGGTGATGGTGATGATGTGATGGTGATGATAACAGTGATGGTGATGATGGCACTGATGATGGTGACGATAATGGTGGTGATTGTGGCGATAGTATGATGGTGATGGTATGGTGGTGATGGTGGCGATGGCAATGGCAATGGTGTTGATGGTGATGGTGTGATAGTGATGGTGGTGATGGTGATGATGGTGGTGATGATGGTATGATGGCGATGGTGGTGATGGTGGTGATGGTGGTGATGATGGTGATGGTGTTGATGGTGATGATGATGGTGATGGTGTTGATGGTATGATGATGATGGTGGTGATGGTGATGATAATGTGATGGTGGTGATGGTGGTGGTGATAATAGTGATAGTGGTGATGGCAATGGTGGTTATGGTGGTAATGGTGATGGTGGTGATGGTGATAGTGGTTATGGTGGTGATAGTGATGATGGTGGTGAGGGTATGATGGTGATGGTGGTGATGATGATGGTGATGGTGGTGATGGCAATAGTGGTGATGGTGGTGATGGTGATGATGGTGGTGATAGTGATGGTGATGGTGGTGATGGTGATGGTGGTGATGATGATAGTAGTGATGGTATGATGGTACGATGGTGATGGTGGTGATGGTGATGGTAGTTATGGTATGATGGTATGATGGTGATGGTGGTGATGGTGATGGTGGTGATGATGATGGTGGTAGCTAAGCAACACTTTACAGTCCTCCTTCTGCTTTGTAATTTCTTTTGAGAACTCTCAGATGTAACATTTAAAGAACTGGATTTTTTCAAGAAAAAAATCACAAAGAATTCATTTTTTATGCCTTGTCCTTCTACTGCCCTCCATAAGCCATCCTGTCTTCATCCTCAGTGGAGGGTGACCTCAAGGAGGCGGTACAGATTGGGGCTTAGGGAAGAGAGCTCAGACCAATGGGATCAGGACATCAGGCTACAGAAAGGGCCCAGGGTCCTAGAAAGCCGTGAATAAGAGCCTATGGCCCCAACTGGAGCCTAGGCCATGATGCTCCTGCCCGTGTGGCCCTATGATAGTGGGCCACCCCAGCAGCTGGCGGTGGGCGGGGAGTTCTGCAGCCGGGGTGAAGATATGTGGAAGCCTAGGGTGACTGGAGGCCTCCTGCTGAAGCTCCACCCACCAACTGGAGCTCCGCCCACACAGACGCTCCAGAAGGCAGCACAGCACCACTCGACCCCCTTTGCACAGGTAAACAGAACAGGGAGGTCAGGTGTGCTGTCCTTGGCAGGGGGAGGAGGATCCAACCCAGCAGCCTGTGCTCCTGACCACTAGGCAACACTGCTCTCGGAGATGGAGGGCCCCAGGGCCACAGAGGAGGGAGATCTGGGGTCCTTCCCTTCACAAGAAGTCCTCCGTGGCCACAGGTGAAGGGCAGGCCTAAGGGCACTTGGTGCTTGTGTCCCCTACCTTTAGGCCTAGGCCCTGGGATGCTGAAACAGGACAGACCATGGCCACAAGGATGTGGACAGGCCCACCAGCCCCTCTCCTGCCTGGAAACCAGCCTGGGCAGCCTGGGGCCTGAGGTCAGCACTCCCTCTCCCCCAGCTGCCTGTCCAGGCACTCAGCCTGTCACTGTGGAGCAGAGCCTCATGACACGCTCCTGAGCCATGTCGCGCAGTCCCTGGGCAGGGCTGCAGCCCACTCTGAAGTCTCTCACCTACTGTGGGGAGCCAGGCAAGCATCTGAGCTCTGGCTACTCCCTAAGAGCTGCCCAGGTCCACCTCAAGAGGAACACACCTGCCCTCCCTCATCCCTAGCACGAGTTGGGCTGCCTCTCCCTGTAAGTGGCCTTGGGAGAGGGGCTCCTGAACCTTCCAGAGGCTGCTTGGCCAGGGCTCCCCCATGTGCTCCATGGACGGTTTGCACCTAATGAGAGAACATCACAGAGCAGACCCACCATGGAGAGGACCCCTGGGTCAGGGAGGACCCCTGCTCTGGGGGGAGAGAGGCGGGTGAAACTCCCCAGGGCCTGCAGGTTTGCCAGGAACTCAAGGTCAGCCGCTGACACCAGGCCCCACTTCAGTGCGAGACACCTAGGGGAAGCACATCTCCACTGTTGGAAGCTCTGGGCTCCCGGCAGGCCCAGTGGAGATGCTGCCTTGGCCTCAGTGTGCCCAGGCCCCTGGCCTCCCATTGGCCCTGGGCAGAGGAAGGCGAGATGGTTGGGAGGGCACTCTGCAGAAGAGGATGTGGACGGTGTCCAGCCCTGGCAGTCCCTCTGCCCAGGCGGCCCTGCAGGCCCTGGGCGCTCACCAGAGGTTCACCAGGAAGACGTGCTCGATCTCCTGCAGGATCTCCAGCTCCCGGAAGACGTTGCGCACCTCGTCGCGCTCAATGCACTGCTGCTTGTTCATGTACTTCATGGCGTACATCTTCTCCGTGTCCCGCTTCTGCACAATGCACACCTGGAGGGCCAAGCACTACTCAGCACCACACCTGGGGCGGAGCTCCGAGCCCCTCCCTCCCCAGGACCACTCTGACAGGACCAGGGTCTCCAGCTGTAGTGGGACAGGGCCCTGAACAGGCACTCTGCAGACAGACAGGGTCCCAGGGAAAGAGCAGCTAGGCCTGAGCCCAGGCCTGCAGTGGCCTGGCCCCTGGAGCGAGCACTGCACGAGTCCTTACCAGCTATGACCTGGGCAGGGGGCCCTCCTTCCCAAGCCCCAGTTTCCCTTCCTAGGGCTCAGATCAGCACATGGCTCAGAGGGCTGCTGGGGAGGACGAGAGAAGCCACTCAGCAGACAGCCCCCAGGAAGCCCTCGCCAACCCCAGGACCGTCAGTGCACGGCAGCAAGAAGCCCCGTGTTGCCTGGGCCCCGCGCAGCCCTCCCAGCATGCTCTCTGGGCACTGAACTGTGGTGTCAGCCAACATGCTGACATCGCTAATGTACTGCTAATTGGCTGCTGGGCAGAGAAGACTGGGGCAGAGAAGTGAGAAGCTGGGTCTCCTGTGGCCAAGGAACATCTGTCAGAATCAAGGACAGGCTCTCCAAAGGGAAACTGGAGTTGAGGCACAGGGTGCTGGCCACAGAACCCACACCCTTCCGGGCATGGCGAGCCCTGTGCGACGCACACAGCAGGCCAAGGGCATCTCCACAGGGTGGCTGGGCAGGAGCACCTGCTACACAGCTCTGCGAGGACCGGGCCAGCCCACAGCAGGACAGGCTGTGAAGGGCATCTCTGCACACAGAAGGCCAAGCCTGAGAGCACCCAGTGTGGGCTCAAACCACAGGGTGGGCTGTCCATGCAGGTGGCACTGCACTGGTGCCCAAGTGGCCAGAGCACTTCTGAGGGTCTTCAAGACGCACGGCTAGGGGAGTCCCGGGAAATGATGAATCTGGAGCTCACAGGGTGGGAGACCCAGTGTCTCACCCAGAGGCAGACGTCTCAGTGGTACCCTCTGATCATCTCGGGTCAATCCTCTGACCCACCCGAGAGGAGACCATCTGTGTTCTCCCTCCTGGAAACGCACCCTAGATTCCTGCACTTGAGGATGTTCGTCCCCGTCCTCTGCATAGCCACCAGACTGCCCAACACCATGACCCCAGCACCTGCTGGGCACAGGCAGGTAAGTTCCGTGAATGCTCAAGAAGCACCAAAGTGACATGCAGACAGACTTCAGTGATACGTGACCACCTTTATAACGCCAAGCAAGAAAGCTGAGCCGCGGTATCCACCGCACGCTGCAGAGGGACGGAGCTGGTAGGGCTGCCAGGGCAGGAACGGAAGGCAGCCCGTGCCCCCAGGCTGTGGTCTCTCTGGCAGCAGACGCGGCAGTCACTCCACAGCCCCACCCTGAAGCCCGGTGTTGCGTGTCTGGGTGACTGCCGGCCTTCGGGGTTTCTGCGCAGTTTCCCTCACCCCTGAGCCTAAACCTCCCTCCTCATCCAGACATGGCCGTGGCTGTGGTTTCCAAGGAACCACACACACACCAGCACCGGACCCAGAGGCACGCTGCAGCCCAGCACAGGCTGAGCTCGAACCCAGACCCGCCGTGAGGACCTTGGATACCAGGTTTAACTTGCATTTTCCTGTGCCCTGTGTTTTTCCAATGACCTCCCAAGGTGATAAGTCACCCAGAACTGCACAGTGACAAAGGGGAAGACGAAAACCAGTGGCACTAGGCAATGACAGACATGTGCTGGACAGTGCAATTGGCCGATGCAAAGCCAGATCATCTGCTATCGCACTGGCCCTGGAAGCGCTCTTTCTCGGGATTTCTGAGCTATGTTAAGGGCAACTGGATTGTCCCCTTCCCCCGGCCAATATTTGAGGGCCCAGGAAGAAAGCTGCAGGTAGGGCCCTAAAGGGCAAGAGGGCTGTCCAAAGGACTCCTGGTCCAGGACAGGGGAAGAGCCCAGTGCTGCAGGACCCCTCGACTCTTCCCCACAGGGTTCCCTCAGGGGCTCTCCGCCTGGCTGGGTCCTCTGGGAGCGCTGAGCCGGGGAGGCCCTGACACCAGGCCCCAGGCCAGCATTCCAGCAGGCGGCAGGTCAACACCACTGTGCAGCTGTAGGGCACAGGCAGCCAGCCATTCTCAGAAAACATGTGGCTTGTGTGGGGACTCTGCCCAGAGGACACTACCTCCTGTGGACTGTCCCTTGGAGAATCAGAATGGGCTGACACACAGACCTGGGCTCCAGGTGCTGACACGCGAGGCCACACAGCCGAGAAGGCGAGGCCACATGCCTCCCAGGGGGAGGGCACACATGCACTCCCAGTAACAGCAGAGCTCCACAGCGCCCGGCCCTGCCCAGCGCCAGCGCAGGCTGTGGGGGCAGAGGTGCAGACGTGCAAAGTGCAGACGTGCAGACGTGGAGTCCAGCCAGGAGAGCACCTCGACACGGGACTCGGGGCGGCCAAACCTGGAGCGATCCGCATGTGCCCGGCGCCTGCCCCCAGGATCCCCTGATGTTCTGTCCCCTGAGGGCACTTGCCAACCACAGTGCAGAGGACGGGCCGCAGGTTGCAGCTCCAACACCTCCCACCCGTCTGCGTTCACACAACCTTCTCCCTCTGCTGTCCTGTTCCATGCTGCATTGCTCTGCTCCCTGGTTCCGGGCCTTTCTGACTGAAGCACCGAGGAGGCGGAGGCTTGGTCCTCGGAGGAGGTGGGGGCTTGGTCCTAGAGGGTGGAGGCTTTTCCTTGGAGGCGGAGGCTTGGTCCTCAGAGGTGGAGCCTTGGTCCTAGGAGGTGGAGCCTTGGTCCTAGGAGGTGGATGCTTGGTCCTCAGAGGCGGAGGCTTGGTCCTAGGAGGTGGATGCTTGGTCCTAGGAGGTGGATGCTTGGTCCTCAGAGGCGGAGGCTTGGTCCTAGGAGGCAGAGGCTTGGTCCTGGGAGGCAGAGGCTTGGTCCTAGGAGGCGGAGGCTTGGTCCTCAGGGGTGGGGGCTTGGTCCTAGGAAGAGGTGGGGGCTTGGTCCTAGGAGGTGGGGGCTTGGTCCTAGAGCGTGGAGGCTTTTCCTTGGAGGCAGAGGCTTGGTCCTCAGAGATGGAGCCTTGGTCCTAGGAGGTGAATGCTTGGTCCTCAGAGGTGGATGCTTGGTCCTGGGAGGCGGAGGCTTGGTCCTAGGAGGAGGAGGCTTGGTTCTAGGAGGCAGAGGCTTGGTCCTCGGTGGTGGAGGTTTGGTCCTCGGAGGCGGAGGCTTAGTCCTCAGAGGCAGAGGCTTGGTCCTAGGAGGCGGAGGCTTGGTCCTAGGAGGCGGAGGCTTGGTCCTTGGAGGCGGAGGCTTGGTCCTAGGAGACAGATGCTTGGTCCTCGGAGGCGGAGGCTTGGTCCTAGGAGACAGATGCTTGGTCCTCGGAGGCGGAGGCTTGATCCTCAGAGCGGGGCAAAGAAAGAAAACGAGGCAAACAGCACCTCCTGCCTCTGTCTCACTGACATGTGCTCCAGGGCCAGGCAGCAGCCCTGAGCACGGTGCTGCAGAGTCCCAGGGCAGCGCACACAGGCTACAGGAAGCCCTCCTGCTGGGGCAAACGCCTGCAAGAAGAGTGTGTGGGAGACATGGCTGCCTTAGCTGTCCTTAGAAGAAGGCGGGGACTAATATCATGCCGGCACCTGGCAGCCATCTAGGGAGACCCAGGAAGGAGCTGGCCCTCACACCCTCCTTCCCGCTACTGACAGCCGTCATGGGAGGCATCCCCACATGTCCACGTGCAGCTGCAGGGTCTCCTGTCGCCCGAGGGTCTTCTTATGGAGACTGCAGTAGAGGGCTGGACTCATCCAGGCTGTCCCTGGAGCCCCCTCCCTGAGATTTGGTCCTGAGGGTGAGGACAAGGACCCTTCCTCCCTCTTTCCCAGGGTCACTGGGGTCACAGGAGCAGGACAGAGGGCAGCACACTCCACACAGGCCTGGGGCAGCCCAAGTAGATCTAGGCTGTAGGGTCACAGGTACTGGTGTGGCCATTCTGCATCGAGGGCTCTGAGCCCGGCCTCGCCATCACCTGCCCCACACCAAGCTGCAAGCCAGAAAGTGGGCAGATGACGGTCCCTAAGGACGTGGGTGCCACGCCTGCCCAGAGCAGAGTCAGCTGCAGGCCACACCTGGGAGCCATAAGAAAGCATGCGCCACGTGCTGGACGGCCACTCAGCAGAGAGAGCCGTGAGGGACCTTTTCATGAAATACCTACAATTGTTTTTTAAATTATTATTTTGAAACCCAGTCGGAAATTTCAGAATGAAAATAAGCGTCCACCACAGCAGGCCACCAGCCCACCTGGCCTCGGCTCCAGGCCCTTCTCCAGCGGGCACTTCACTCTGCTGGCTGGGAGCTGAATCACAGGCATTGGCCATCAGCGCTGGCCGGCAGCAGAGCAGCCTGTCCGTCTCCAGTCCAGTGACCTCCAGCAGGGGGAGGAAGTGAGCTCTACTTACAGGGCCCAGGAACGCTGCAGAAATGTGCTCCAGCACTGGACACAGTGATGGTCCTTCCCGCCTGACGGTCCACTGCACACGAGGAGGGACGCAGAGGGTCGTTCACGCAGGGCCGTGCAGCAGCAGGCTGGGTGGTGGGCAGGATGCAGGCCCTGCTGCCCAGGGGAGCTGGCAGGGCTCAGAGCAAGCGGCACTGGCCCAGCTCCTGGTGCTGGTGTCGGGAAGGCAGGTGGGGGCAGCGCCTCCCCAGCAGGGCCAACCTGTGGGGTGCCAGGGGCTCGAGGCCCTCGCAGCAGGCCAACCCTGGCTACTCTGGTGCTTCTGTGCTGCCTGCCCATGTGACCTGGTCCTTTCTGGGTGTCTGCACACCTGGCCACGCCACAGGGCAAGTCCCCAGGAGCCTGGGGAGGATCACCACTCTGTGGCTCAGAATGTGGCTTGTGAGGGACAAAGTTCTCTGAAGATGTAAACTGAGGGTCTCAGGCGGCGTGGGCTGGTGCGGGGATTCCCGAATGGGCTTCAGGAATTCCAT